TATGGCGGCACTCCAAATCGGATCATGACAGTGGCTTTCTGTTTTAGCTCTTTATTTTCTGCCTTCAGTGCGCTAATCTCTACTCGCGCATCCTCGTACATACATTGGAGCAGCGAAAGTTGGGCGTTTAATCGGTGTACCTCACTTGTCCTTTTCTGCAGTCGGTGAGACAAATTAGAGACCGCAGCCACTGTCTCCATACAGGACTTCAATGTGTATTGGTTAGCTTCAATGTCAGATTGAGTTGCCATTACTTGCTCGATTGACAGCGTAGGAAGGTTCGGAAGAGTTGGAGTAGGGGCACTCGGTACAGGGGAGCTTATGGGATCATTGAGGTTTGGAAAGAGGGTAAGAGAACCAAGGGAAAAGGCCATATCAGAGGATACAAAAGAAAGGGGTTACAGAATGGTTCATAGCTTTTTTGCTCTGTCTCTCTCACCAACCTCGGCTTAAAAAGAGAATAAAGAGAGAGCGAGAGTCGAGGCAATCGTTGCACATCAGGGAGCGTCTAGCTCTGTCGGTCACGTAAATCGCGCGCCAGACACGACGTTCGAAGCCACAGTGTCAGGTGCAACTTTTGAAGGCGCAACATATATATATATCTTTGTATGTATATATACCATATAGTGTCTTTTCCAACGATTCGACACGACCACAGAATGTCTTCTACAATGGTCCTCCACAACCATACCGTGTTTTCTACAATAGTCTGACATGACCATACAATGTCTCCTATTTTATTTTATTTTTTAGTTTATTTTCACGTTTTGTTACTCTCTCCAAACTTATGTTGGTTGGTACCTATCCTCCTTAAATTTGAGGGGGGTTGTTAGTGTATGTTATAATTAGTGCTTACATTACTTATTGCTTTAGGGTTGGTTTGGGAAGTGAGTTGGCTTTTTGGCTTTTTGGCTTTTTGGCTTTTTTGGCTATTTTAGCATGGGCTAAAAAGCTTGGTTTGGGAAGGGTTTTTTGGCTTTTTGGCTTTTTTGACTTTTTTTATGAGAGAAGAGTGTAATGATTATGGGTTAGATATGATGTTTTGTTTTTTGTGGCTAAAATAGCCTATTTTATCTTTTGTGGCTAAAATAACCAAAAAAGCTCAAAACCTAAGTTGCCAAACAGAGGCTCACCTTCCACTTTGGGCCATAATGTTATTTGTAGGTTGTCTATAATCTCTCCGATATATAGGAGCTATTGTACATTGAATCATATATATAAAAGATATACATATTTCTGTCTCTCTTTCTCTAAACATTATTCTAACATGGAAGATTAGATTAGGAGAGAGAGAGACCTGTAACAATGGCAGTGAGACCAGTCCCATTAATTCCTCGAGTAACTTCCTTAGGTGTAGAGCTTGCTATGTGTGCATAAACACCTATGGTTTAGTGAATTTAAACATGTAGACTACTTAAAAAAATATATATATAACCAAGATATCAGAATTTTTATAAATTCATTTTCTGGGCTAATTCTTTGAGAAAAATCATTTTAGCAACTACAATTTCTCAAGTCCGGGCACATATAACATACTTCAAAATAAAATTTTGGCCAAAACTGAGGATATAATGATATTTGCAAAGATTCATTCACATTGCACCACATTGAGGTGCTACTAACCAGGGTTATGAATATCGGCTAGTATCATATTAAATAATGGTACTTTGGCCTTCCGATACCATTATTCACTGACATTGACTGATATATGAGGATACTAATACATATTTCAATACTGTTTTTTAAAACATGTTACTCACCCTTTCTTCCACCCGAAAAGCTATTTTTATATAATTTTTCATTAGTAAAACCGGAATTGAGCACAAGGAGGTATCTCCATGGTGTTTTGAAAAATTTGTTCATATATATGTATAATAAAAATCCAGGCCCTTTTACAACCAGTTTCAAAAAAAATTAAAAATTAAAAAAAATTAAAAGAAAAAAGACAACCCAATGCTTCAATTAATATATTAAAAGAAAAAAGAAAGATAATGGGTTGAGTATATGGACTGTTAACAATTTAGATACAACAAAGTTTACTGGTATTGTTAGAGTACTGTGATTAACAAACCCCATATTCGATTACAACCCAATCGTCATTTAAACCAGGAAGGAAAGGAATTGTGAATGATATACAGAATGAAGAATAATTTCTTGGTTTTGGTTTCGAACTAGGGTTAAGGAAGATTAGAGAAGAGGAGAGAGAGAGAGAGAGAGAGAGACCTGTAACAATGGCAGTGAGACCAGTCCCATCAATTCCTCGAGTAACTTCCTCAGCTGTAGAGCTTGCTGAATACCCAGATGGTCCTTTTCTGCTCAACAACCACATTCTCTCTCTCTCTCTCTCTCAAGAACCTAAACAAAGAAGCATATCTTCAAGCGATTGACCAAAAAGAGAGATGGACCATGCATTTATATGTGTTTCGCGTAATACAGTATAGTCGAATCCTTTAACCTTAATGATCCGTTTGGGTTAATGCCCAATTGAAATTCTAAAACTACCTTCCTTTTTTCTTTTTCCTTTTTTTTTGGGTAAATAACAGCTCAACTAATAGAATAATAATATAAAAATTTACTTTTGTAGATTCACTTTTTTAACGTGTCAAGAAAATAATTAATTAATATCATTTTCTTGATGTATCATTGAATTTATAAAATTAATTTAATGATGCTCTATTCAATATTGCTAACAATAATAATAATAACAATAATATTTTATTTGTTAATTTTAAAATCTTATTATTCAACTCAGTGGAATAGCGGAGTGAAAAGAAAAAAAAAAAATCATAATGTCTTGAGTTTGAAAAAAAAAAAAATTAATTATACTTACTAGCATTGCTATAATCTAGCATTGTTGTAATCTAACTTTGATATTTTCAATTATGTCCATCATTAATGAGGTTTTTTTGGGGTTTTTTTTTTTGGTCCAGCATGTCTCAAGTTGAGATCAAGACTGGATCCGTCCAGTTCGGCTCATGGGGTCCATTTTTATTTTAATAATTCGAACCATTCAATGTGTAGAACTCATCGAGTACTATATGTTTGTAAAAAAATCACGTTGATCGAATATAAATAGATATGTAATCAAATCAGTTTTGTATAAAAAAAAATAAACGGTGAAACAATTAACGGTTGATAAAAAACTGTTTTGTTCACATAGCTATCGATATCGATTAACGTGATTTTTTACAGGCATATAGTACTCGACGAGTTCTACACATTGACGGTTCAGATTATCAAAACGGGACCCGTGGTGGGCCCCCATGGACCCAACAACACAGGACCAAAGCCACTGCTTTTTTTTTTTTTAGGGTTCCTGATATTAAAATTTTATAATATAAAGGACATTTAATATTTTCATAATGTCTAAAGTCTCTCAACATTAAACCAGAGAAATTCCAGTCCAGAGAAATTTCAGCCTAGAGAAATTTTTCCCGGAGAAATTCTATTCAGAGAAATTCTGGGCTTCCAAAGGATTTCTCTGGATTTATGGACTAACATAAAAAAAAAAATCACAATATCAGCAGCCCTCAAAATGACACACCATTTGCCTTCATTTGCACTTTGAATTAACACACGTCAACAATGTAGAAGGTGATCAATCTTGTAATCAGACATGACAAAGTGAATGCATAGAAATCCATAACAGAGTACCCATTCTTAAATGTTAAAATTAGTGCCTTTGATTTTATCCAAAATGCAAACATAAGAACTTCTAACTAATTTCTTCACCTCGCACCACACCAGATGCTTATTTTAACAAAACCAACTCATTCATTGTTTTCCATAAAATCTACAAGATTGCCATGGGCATTGCTTCCCAAATTAATTTCTTCACCTGTTTGAATTTGCAGCGCTACCACCATTTTAGTAAATCTGATAGAGAAGCAGGGTAACACTTTTCTGTTGAACAACAAGTCAGATGTAAGAATTCTATTCCTCCATGATAGGCAATGGAACATTTTAATGTGTGATCTCTGGGGTTTTTTTTTCCTGATATATGATATTCTAGTTTTTCTCTTGCCCATTATATGTTGGAAATCATATAGATTTATTATTACTTCTATACATGTATTACTGTATGGTTAATTAAGAGAAAATCTCAAACTCAGAGAAAATCTATATGATAGGCAATAGAACATTTTAATGTGTGATCTCTGGATTTTTTTTTCCCCTGATATATGATATTCTAGTTTTTCTCTTGCCCATTATATGTTGGAAATCATATAGATTTATTATTACTTCTGTACATGTATTATTGTATGGTTGATTAAGAGAAAATCTCAAACTCAGAGAAAATCTCATTCTAACCCAGAGAAAATTGCCAAATCCAGAGAAAATTCAAGGATAATTCAGAAAAAATTGTCAAATTCAGAGAAAATTCGATCATGAGAAAATTGCCAAATATAGAGAAAAGTGGCCAAATCCAGAGAAATTCAACACTGTCAACACTGTCATTGATGCAGACAAATCAGTATCACGTACCGGCAACATAAACGGAAATTGAACGGAGATGATGACATCGAACTCGAAGCTCCATCAACATCGTAGAGGCGGTACCAGAAACTACTCGAACTCTCGGACTCACTCACATTGGCACTCAAGCTGTAACTTCCACAGAGCTCACTCTGCTGATCCTCGTCTAAGGATTTCTTCTTACTCTGGTTCTAATACCGGTGGCTTTGTACAGTTTTTGCTTTTTTAGAGGCTGCTGCTCCATCGAAGAAGCCATGCCAGAGACTACATCGAGTTTACGGCGGATGATTTTCGAGGAAGGGATCGATTCTCCCAACTTGTCTGTTTGGGTTTTGTGACTTTATTTTGAGGCTACCCATAACTTTATATGTTTTTTGAGGCCCAAAGCATTTCCAATCGTAAATGTGAGTAGAAGTTTGACCAAAAATTCTTTTTGATATGAAGTGATTCAATGTGTGTGTTGTAATTTCATCAATGATCGATCAGCAGATAACCGATCGGTTGACTGGCCGTTGGATACCAACCCAGCTGCCATTGATGTAGGAGAGAGAGAGAGAGAGAGAGAGGTGCCGCGAAAAGGGAAAATAGTGATTACCACTAAAAAGGATGTGATGACGGAATAGATTAGTGGCAATTGCTCCTGGATGAAGTGAATTTGCAGTTATCTCCACCCTGTCATCCTGTGCAGAGACACAACTATTAATAACAACACTATCATGTTTCTATTTTAAGTGCTGATGTGAATGAAAGGACATTCCACACAGTCCATTCATGTTTAGCAGAATGAAAAATTTTATTTTTTGAAAGACATTTAAAGTGGTAAGTAATTTTTTCACCATAGATTTGAGTCACACACATACCTTCAGATGTCTCGCAAGTTCATTGGCATGCAGAACATTAGCAAGCTTTGACTGACCGTATGCAGATAGCTGGTTATACCTGAAGATTTCAAGTGCACACACATATTAAAAGAAAGCCAACTAGCCAAGATATACACATATAGCATTTTTCACAAATAGAATTTGAAACATATCAAACCTTGCATACAAACCTATCAACTGTTTCCTGTATTCAACTCAGCTTATGCAAAATGGATTTAAAGTTGCGGCATACAGTTTACTCCTCCCTAATTTCAATATAATGCGTACTTTTTGGAACTCTATTTTGGAGACTGTAACAGGGCAACATTCATCCAAAGCTTTAAAAAAATTATTTTTAGTAAGTAAAAAAATTAATAACCAAAAAAACTTTGCAAGGGGTAATTGAGAACTGTACGCATTAATCATATGCTACAAGCAAGGTGGAGTAGCTTATAGCTGTTTTGCCAATGTGCTTATCCCTCACAGTGAAGGATTTTCATTACCAAATGTAGAATCAAAAACAGTTGATACATACGTATATATGCTGTATCTGAAGTGAAAATTCTTACCCTGATTGATCATTAATTTTGTCAAATCGGATTCCTTCAGGATATGAAAACTGGTGTCGTCTTGATGATACATTTACAATCCTGCCTTCTTTGCTAGTTGTACGGACTGTTTCCTTCATGGTTTCCAACAATAGATTTGTCAAAAGAAAATGACCTGCAAGAAGATAAGAGAATCTTTAAATCATTCACCCCTGCATCGACACCAATTAGTGAAGTGATATCTTAATTAAACCTTAACCATCATGATTGATAACAGAGAAAGAAAAATATAATTAGGTTGAAACCCACCAGGAGGAACTTCTAAAAAACCTAGTATTTCTGAATTATAGAGCAGAACACTACACACAAGTTCAGAAATTTGCAAGTACCAAAAGTGACCATACTAAAAAAGGTGTAGCATTCAAGGAATTTAAATGAATGTACCATTACCGATGAACATACTGTTCATACAAAAAATGTATCTCACCTATGTGGTTTGTTGCAAACTGTAGCTCTATCTTGTCTTTAGAAAGCATGAATGGAGTTGCCATAATTCCTGCATTGTTACTTACAACGAGAAAAAGAAAATTGCTTTGTATTAATATTGTATATAAACATACATACAATATGGCATGTTAGGCTCACAAACAACCATAAACCCATTTAAATTAACAGAAATCAAGCTTTAACTACAAACGTTAAGTTTAGCAGGATCCACAGAGAGAGAGAGAGAGAGGAGGAGGAGAAGGAGAAGAAGAAGAGGAAGAAGAAGAGGAAGAAGAAGAAGAAGAAGAAGAAGAAGAAAATTTCATCATTCTCTCTCTATCATGTTCCCTACATATCTTACATGAGGAGATTCAAAGGAAGTCCCAGAGAATTGTATTCCGATACAAACTTCCTCACTGATGCCAACGAACTGAGATCCAATTCAATGGCATCAACTTTCGCAGTCGGGATTTCCTTAAGTATTGCTTCTTTGACCTCTTTCCCAGAAGACATATTTCTGACCCCCATAACTACATGGACACCGCGCATTGCAAGAACACGTGCAGTTTCAGTACCAATACCACTTGATGCTCCTGCAATAGCAGCAACAACAACAACAAGAAAAGTATATGGAAAAGATCAATGTATCAAATGCCAAAAGAACATCATTTTAGGTCATCAATGCACTTAAGCATTCCTTCAAAGTATAATTTAAATTTTGAAATGAAATGAGGTGGGGATTCGAGAAGAATGGCTTGCCCAATCCAAACCCTCAAACAAAGTTTTTCAACATAACTAACTCATTAGAATTGGTTCTAAAGTGAAATGCACTATAGGTAAAATAGGTAAAAGCCAAATAGTCCAACTTTAGGGGAATTCTGCAACAGGCCTTGTTCTAAAATCTAGTATGTCACGTGTGTGCATAAACACCTATGGTTTAGTGAATTTAAACATGTAGACTACTTAAAAAAATATATATATAACCAAGATATCAGAATTTTTATAAATTCATTTTCTGGGCTAATTCTTTGAGAAAAATCATTTTAGCAACTACAATTTCTCAAGTCCGGGCACATATAACATACTTCAAAATAAAATTTTGGCCAAAACTGAGGATATAATGATATTTGCAAAGATTCATTCACATTGCACCACATTGAGGTGCTACTAACCAGGGTTATGAATATCGGCTAGTATCATATTAAATAATGGTACTTTGGCCTTCCGATACCATTATTCACTGACATTGACTGATATATGAGGATACTAATACATATTTCAATACTGTTTTTTAAAACATGTTACTCACCCTTTTTTCCACCCGAAAAGCTATTTTTTTTATAATTTTTCATAAGTAAAACTGAAATTGAACACAAGGAGGTATCTCCATGGTGTTTCAAAAAATTTGTTCATATATATGTATAATAAAAATCCAGGCCCTTTTCCACCGAGTTTCAAAAAAAATTAAAAATTAAAAAAAAATTAAAAGAAAAAAGACAACCCAATGCTTCAATTAATATATTAAAAGAAAAAAGAAAGATAATGGGTTGAGTATATGGACTGTTAACAATTTACATACAACAAAGTTTACTGGTATTTGAGAGGGTAATTTATATGAAAATTGGGCCGAGCTGGGCCGTTATGGGCCTCAGTACGAAGGGTTGAGTAAAAAGGGCATAAAGTTACTCCGATCTTGAAGAGGTTTAAAGTTACTCCTGTCCCAAGGAGGTTAGCTCGTTCACCATACTAAAACTTATACCGGTTATGGCGCAGTATGGTTAGCTCGGTCTAAACCTTGCTAAAAGTTAGCTCGGTTTAGACTTACCACGGTTTGTACAGGAGGAACTGAGGTAAGGGCAGTAAAAGGAGGAACCGAACTAAGGATAGTTCAGTCTGTTCTACGGCTAAGCATAGCCATGCGTACCTCGATCACATTGGAGTCCGACCATGATAAAACCATCTCACTTGGTTTAAACAGTGATGAGGTGTTGAAGGATAAGCATTATCTTTCAGGAGTATGAATCCTAGGAAGACTCTATATGGAGGAGTAAGAGTCCCACTTGGATTGTGTCGCACGGAACCTATAAAAGCTCACAAACATCACCTATGGAGAGGTAACACACAACTTTGATTCCTGAATACACAAAGTTTTTGTCTACTTGTCTATTTTGCTGGCTTAGGCATCGGAGGAGTTTCCGGCACACACCCGCCGGCTAGCTCACGTTTGTGTTTTTAGGGAGTAAAGCGACGACGTTTACACGGACTTGATCAACAGGATTATACGATAAGGTTCATTTTTTTTCCGTACAGTATTGTTAGAGTACTGTGATTAACAAACCCCATATTCGATTACAACCCAATCGTCATTAAACCAGGAAGGAAAGGAATTGTGAATGATATACAAAATGAAGAATAATTTCTTGGTTTTGGTTTCGAACTAGGGTTAAGGAAGATTAGATTAGATTAGAGAAGAGGAGAGAGAGAGAGACCTGTAACAATGGCAGTGAGACCAGTCCCATCAATTCCTCGAGTAACTTCCTCAGCTGTAGAGCTTGCTGAATACCCAGATGGTCCTTTTCTGCTCAACAACCACATTCTCTCTGTCTCTCTCTCTCTCTCTCTCTCAAGAACCTAAACAGAGAAGCATATCTTCAAGCGATGACCAAAAACAGAGAAAGAGAGATGGACCATGCATTTATATGTGTTCTGCGTAATACAGTAGTCGAATCCTTTAAACCTTAATGATCCGTTTGGGTTAATGCCCAATTGTGTGTCATTTTAATAATAAAAAAAAATTCTCAAACTACCTTCCGTTTTTTCTTTTCTTTTTTTTGGGGGTGGGTAATAACAGCTCAACTAATAGAATAATAATAAAAAAATTTACTTTTGTAGATTCACTTTTTTAACGTGTCAAGAAAATAATTAATTAATATCATTTTTTTTGATACATTATTAAATTTATAAAATTAATTTAATAATGCTCTATTCAATATTACTAATAATAATAATAATAATAATAATAATAATTTATTTGTTAATTTTCAAATCTTATAATTCAAGTCAGTGGAATAGCGGAGCGAAAAGAGAAAAAAAAATCATAATGTCTTGAGTTTGAAAAAAAAAAAAATTAATTATACTTACTAGCATTGCTATAATCTAGCATTGTTGTAATCTAACTTTGATATTTTCAATTATGTCCATCATTAATGAGGTTTTCTTGGGAGATTTTTTTTTTAGGGTCCTTGATATTAAAATTTTATAATATAAAGGACATTTAATATTTTCAAAATGTCTAAAGTCGCTCAACATTGAACCAGAAAAATTTCAATCCAGAGAAATTTCAGTCCAGAAAATTTTTTCCCAGAGAAATTCTGAGGCTTCCAAAGAATTTCTCTGGGTTCAAGACTTTGAACATTCAAATTTCTCTGGATTTATGGACTAACATAAAAAAAAAAAAATCACAATATCAGCAGCCCTCAAAATGACACACCATTTGCCTTTATTTGCACTTTGAATGAACACACGTCAACAATGTAGAAGGTGATCGATCTTGTAATCAGACATGACAAAGTGAATGCATAGAAATCCATAACAGAGTACCCATTCTTAAATGTTAAAATCAGTGCCTTTGATTTTATCCAAAATGCAAACATAAGAACTTCTAACTAATTTCTTCACCTCGCACCACACCAGATGCTTATTTTAACAAAACCAACTCATTCATTGTTTTCCATAAAATCTACAAGATTGCCATGGGCATTGCTTCCCAAATTAATTTCTTCACCTGTTTGAATTTGCAGCGCTACCACCATTTTAGTAAATCTGATAGAGAAGCAGGGTAACACTTTTCTGTTGAACAACAAGTCAGATGTAAGAATTCTATTCCTCCATGATAGGCAATGGAACATTTTAATGTGTGAGCTTTGGGTTTTTTTTTCCTGATATATGATATTCTAGTTTTTCTCTTGCCTATTATATGTTGGAAATCATATAGATTTATTATTACTTCTGTACATGTATTACTGTATGGTTAATTAAGAGAAAATCTATATGATAGGCAATGAAACATTTTAATGTGTGATCTCGGAGTTTTTTTTTTTTTTCCTGATATATGATATTCTAGTTTTTCTCTTGCCCATTAAATGTTGGAAATCATATAGATTTATTATTACTTCTGTACATGTATTACTGTATGGTTGATTAAGAGAAAATCTCATTCTAACTCAAAGAAAATTGCCAAATCCAGAGAAAATTCAAGGATAATCTAGAAAAAATTGTCAAATTCAGAGAAAATTCGATTTAGAGAAAATTGCCAAATCCAGAGAAAATTGCCAAATCCAGAAAAAAGTGGCCAAATCCAGAGAAATTCAACACTGTCAACACTGTCATTGATGCAGACAAATCAGTATCACGTACCGGCAACATAAACGGAAATTGAACGGAGATGATGACATCGAACTCGAAGCTCTATCAGCATCGTAGAGGCGGTACCAGAAACTACTCGAACTCTCGGACTCACTTACATCGGCACTTAAACTATAACTTCCACAGAGCTCACTCTGCTGATCCTCGTCTAAGGATTTCTTCTTGCTCTGGTTCTAATACCGGTGGCTTGTACAGTTTTCGCTTTTTTAGAGGCTACTGCTCCGTCGAAGAAGCCATGCCAGAGACTACACCGAGTTTACGGCGGATGATTTTTGAGGAATGGATCGATTCTCCCAATTTGTCTGTTTGTGTTTTGTGAATTTATTTTGAGGCTACCCATAACTTCATATGTTTTTTTAGGCCCAAGGCATTTCCAATTGTAAATTTGAGTAGAAGTTTGACCAAAAATTCTTTTTGATATGAAGTGATTCAATGAGTGTGTTGTAATTTCATCAATGATCGATCAGCAGATGACCGATCGTTTGACTGGCCGTTGGATACCAACCCAACTGCCATTGATGTAGGGGAGAGAGAGAGAGAAAGGAAGCAGAGAGTGAGAAGAGAGAGACCAAACTTAGTTTTTGAAGATAGTTTTGAAGCCCTTTCGTTTCTTCTAAAATTTGTCTGTGATATATGAGTTTGGTGTTGAAGGACCTTAGACATCATAAAATAATATTTTGGATCTCTTCCATTATTAAAAGGGGGAGAGGGATCTTAGAGTAATTTTCCTTTTTTTTATGGTCTATCATTAATGATGTCCATCATTTTAATATGTTATGCTGTTCCCATTTCCTATTACCCTCCTACCAATTTTAAAGTTAAAAAAAGAATTAAAAAATAAAACTTGAATCGATAATATGTTTTGTTGTTCCATTTCCTATTATCTCTCTTTACCTCTCCCTAATATGTTTTTGCATGTTTTACAATAATTCCGATGACGAATATTCGGCTACTTTGTGCAATCAACAATTCTACATATACTGTGGTGGTGTTTGGCAAGTCGGTTTGGGATTAAAATAGTCACAAAAAATAAAATAGATTATTTTAATCATAACAAACAAAACATCACATCCAATCCATAATCATTACACTCTTCCCTCACAAAAAAAGTCAAAAAAGTCAAAAAATCCTTTCCAAACCAAGCTTTTTAGCCCAGGCTAAAATAGCAAAAAAAGTCAAAAAACTAAAAAACCAACTCACTTCCCAAACGGAGACACAATAGATTCACAAAATAAAAATTATTATGTGATTCAGATTCATTTTACGTGTAAACTACACCATTCTAAACTTAAATTGAGGGGAAATTACTTATAGTTGGATAAACAAAAAAAAAATAAATCAAACATGGAGCCCCCACAGTTATTACTTGCACCCTATCACATAATCAGTTGAACTCCCAATGTTTTTGTAATTTTTTTTTTTGTCTTTTCCACTAATTCCCTCTTAAATTTATATCACATAATTATTTTTCTGTCTACAATTTCTGTGCACAAATCTTTTTGTTCAGCAATTGGTGATGGACAGATCAATGGGTTGGCTTCTAACCCATAATTATGTGATCCTCTCCTTCTTGCCATCTTCCATTTTCCACTTACACAATCCTTAATTTGCTAACGAGGTACATGGATTCGTTAACAGATTAAGAATTCAAATCCTGTCCCAAGTTCCCCACAATTTGGAGGAAGAATTTAAACACCAAAGCAAGAAGTCCAAATCCACACAAGCCTGCATCTTCTAAATCCTATCGCTATGTTTGATTCTTTAATCTCGGATTTATCAATGAAAAAAAATAAAAAGATAAATAAAATTACTTGCCAATTACTTGTTTCAATGAGGTTATACCCCCAAGAAGAATGACTATTGTAATCCTTCTATTTTTATCTCAAGTAAGTCAAACAATACAAGTAAATAAGCATATAAACGATTATATTTTTAAAAATTATTCAGTGTGTTTAATTTTAATTTTTTGAATTTAATTTTTTAAAAATTGAGTTTTTTATTTTTCTTATTTTTCTATTTTTTGTGAATATTTTTAAAATTTTAAACATTTTTTTTACTTTTTTAAATCCACCTTACTTAGATGTATCTAAAAAGTAAAATACTTGTGAAAAAATATTTCAAAAAAATTAATAAATACAAAAAAATATGAAAAATATACTAAATTTTCATTTTTTTTTTGTATTTTTGATATTTAGTGAATTTTTTAAAGATTTTTTTTCACAAAAATTATACTTTTTAAGTGTATTTATATTAAGTGTGTCTAAAAATTAAAAAAATACTTAAAATATTAAAAAATTCAGTAAAAATAAAAAAAATACGAAAGTAAAATTTTTTGAAAAATATTTTTAAAAATCCAAACCAAGCAAGTAGAATACAATTCAAGGATTTACCAGATTGTTCTTTGTTAACAAAGCAGTGCAAACACCATTCAACTAGCTTATGTACTATTCTTATTTTTGAGGTACAGTGGATTTTGTGAAATTAGGAGTACATTACTTAACCAAGTTCATGCTGAAATCCCAGAGTTTCTTTGCCAACTCGACATTCATAGCGTGTCCACTTGCTTTGGCCACGTTGCTGTCACTGAAATATTCACCACTTTTTCCCTCGACTTGCGGATGCAATGCCACATAACATGTCGTTGCCGCCCCCTACAGCCATAATGATGCAGTTAAAAAAAAAAAAAATGTGAGTACGATTGAATATAGGAATCAAAATATTATGTTTGAATATAAAAATTAAAATAGAAATTAGAAAAGGAATTATTTTAATTGTAGGAATTTTGCCTTAAGTATATTATTTTCTAAATTGTATCATGAATATATTATATATACATGGCATCTACCTCATTGATTAGTAAGTCAAATAATTTCTTCTATTCTTTTTGGTATCAGCCGTCTCTCTCTCAACCACCCATCACCACCAACTCCTTCTTTCTTCTCTCTAGCCTCCGACAGCCTCAGCCTAGCCTAGCCTAGCCTAGCCTTCTTTTAGCCTTCGACAGCCCTTTCTAGCCTTCACCTAGCTTCCGACAACCCTTTCCAACTCATTTTCTCCCTCCAACAGTCTCAGCCCAGCCTCCGCAGTCCTTCTCATTCCTTGTCTTCACCTCGGCAGGCCTTCTTTATCCCTACCGAGGCTCTAGCTGCCGCAGACCAGACCTGGTTATGGTCTTAAGTGCTTCGGTTGCCTCTTTAGGTGGTTCGTGGCTATTTTTTTTTCTTCCCCTTCTTGGGTGATTGGACTAATGCATTAAGCCATTTTGGTCTGTCCTTTTATTCAAGTTTATTCGGTAGTATCTATTTGGATAAGCCGTTAAGTTTTTTCCAACTGCTCATTTTTTCTTGGACTGTATTGCTATCTTTATGTGTTTTTCAGCCCCTCTTCTACCACCATGACTAATCCATCCTTTGCTGATATTTCCATCAAGCCTGTCCTAATTAGTTTTGATTTTTCTCTTTCTCATCATACTTCTGCTCATTGTATTACGAGTGTTATGTTGAATGAGAAAAAAAATTCAACTTGGAACTGCTCCCTTAAACTCTATTTAGGGGGCAAGAGAAAAGCTCATTGGCTTTTATCTTCCACTACTCAACTTGCTACAACAGATCATACCCGTGCATAGTGGGATATTGATAACTGTACTATTTTGAGATAGATGTTTAACTCTATGGAAGATCGTATTTATCATATGTTTCTCTATTGCGACAAAGTTCCTGATCTATGGCATGCTTTTATCACAGATGTGTGCTCATACTCATAACGATGCTTGCATCTTCGAGCTCTATCAGGATATTGCTTGTACTTCCGAGTTTGTCTTGGGTCTTTCTGTGTCAGAATTCTTTGGATACCTTCAGCCCCGTTGGGAAGAATTGACTCAATATGAGCCCTTAACTAAGTTACCGGCAGATGTTGTCTCTGTTGTGTCCAAATGCCTTGCTCGCCAAAACACTTATCAATTTCTGATAGGTTTAAACTTTGAGTTTGAATCCCTTCGAACTCAGATTTTAGACATATCACCCAAGCTCTCTTTCTATGAGGCCTTTACCATCATTGATAGTGATGAACGTTGTAGGTGTTCGGTTCAGTCGAATCCTTCTTCTTTGTCTCCAGTTTCATCTGATCAGATGGCTCTTATTGCGAAGTCTAGTTCTCGGGGTTATACTGGTCCAGTTACTTGTCATCATTGTGGCGCTTCTGGTCATGTTAAGGCTCGTTGCTTCAAACTTCATCCTGAGTTGAGGCAATGTTCCTCTCGACCTTGTGGTGCTGGTACCCCTCACACTGCGGCTTTAGTGTATTGCTACTCCTGTCTCCTCATCTCCTTAATTTACAAGAGTTACAGACTCAGATTGGTCAACTTTAAGCTCAACTTCGATCTCTTCCTACCAGTTCTCACGGCCCATTATCTACCACTGTTGCCACCCTTGCAACAGGTACTTCTACTGCTTTCCATATTTGGTCTGCTAGTCCCTCATGGATTCTGGATTCTAGGGCTAATGAACATATGACAGATGAGTTTTCCTTTCTTTTTTCTCTAGTCTCTACTACTATTGCCCAATCTGTGTGTCTTACTGATGATTCGTTATCCTCTGTTCGTCATAAGGGTGTAGTGTCTTTATCCCCTACCATTACTTTATCATTTGTTTTACATGTTTCAAATTTTGTATATAATCTCTTATTCGTTAGTCGTCTTGCCAAACAATTTAATTGTACTGTCATCTTTTTACTCTCTTCTTGCTTTTTACAAGACCTAAATTCGAAGAGGATTTTTGACCAAGGCTATGAGTGTGATAGGTTGTACTACTTTGGAGATCTACCGGATGAGTATTCCTCTTCTTCTTTAGCCAGTTTTCAGGCCTCTGTTTTATCTGCTTCAATGTCTTGTGTTTTTAATATTCAGACTTTAGAATTATGGCACGCTCATATGGGTCATGTTAGTTTTCAGTATTTATGTCAACTTTTTCTTTCATTTAATAAAGCTTGCAAAGATTCTAAGTTTCATTGTGTGGTTTGTGAATTGTTTAAGCATACCCGTACTAGCTATATCCCTCATATGACTCGTACTCCTAGTGCTTTTGATCTTATATATTCTGATGTCTGGGGCCCTTCCCTTGTCACTGCTTTTTCTGGTCATAGATATTATGTGACTTTTATTGATGAACACACTAGGTGCACTTGGGTTTATCTATTTCGTCGTAAGCTTGACGTATTTCCCATTCTTGTCTAATTTTTACAGATTGTTAAAACTCAGTTTCATATAGTTGTTAGGACTATCCGTTCTGATAATAACGGGGAATATTTCGTCCTCATCTTAATCAAATCGGTATTTTTCAACAACTTATTTGTCCTCGGACCCCTAAACAAAATGGTGTTGCTGAACACAAAAACCATCATATTATGTCTGTTGTCCGGTGTTTTCTTCGAGATATGGGTGTTTCCAAGTCTTATTGGCATATGGTGGTCTTTAATGTTGTTTTTATCTTATTAATAAGGCCCCTAGTTGTGTATTGCATGGTCTCACTCCGTTTTATATCTTTATGCCCACTACCACTCTGTTTCCACTCTTACCTTGTGTCTTTGGGTGTACTTGTTTTGTTCAAAATCGGAGTCTCACTCGTATAAAGTTAGATGATAAATCTATTCATTGTATCTTCTTAGGGTAGTCTTCATGTTCAAAGGGTATAGGTGTTATGACCTTGTGTCTGGTCACTTTCACCACACTTTGGATGTTACGTTTTGTGCGGATCTTCCTTTCTTTGGTACTAACCCTTCATTGCAGGCTTCTCCTCCTGTTACTTCCACTGCTCGCCCGGTGACCATTTTGGAGGAGGTTGAGAATGGGGTTGTCCATCTTCCTTCTTCTTAAGCTTCACCTCCTCCCCCATTGCAAGTATAATCTCGTCGTCTACGCCCTCCCCCTGCCGTCTCTCCGATCTCTGGGTTAGGTACCTCTTCTCCTTTAGCTCCTTCTCTACCTCCTCGTCGTAACCCATATCGGGATCGACATCCTCCAAATCGTTTGAGTTATTTGAGTAGTACTAATCATCCTATTTCCCAGTATCTTTCCTATGACACGGTTTTCCCTTCTTATCGTTTTTTTCTTGACAAGCTTAAGTTAGAGTTTATTCCTCGTTCTGTGTCTGAGGCCTTTCAAAATCCCAAATGGGTAGCGGCTATGCAAATTGAGATGGCGACCTTAGAACATAATCACACTTGGGATCTTGTACCTTTACCTCCGGAGGAAAGCATGGTTGGTTGCAAATAGGTGTTTACCATAAAATACCTCACTAATGGCTCAGTTGACCATTACAAAGCCCACTTGATGGCCAAAGGTTTCATACAGATTCCTAGCAAGGATTTTGGTGCCACTTTTGCCCCTGTCACCAAGCTTACTTATGTATGTCTCCTTATCTCCCTTGTAGCATCTCATTCTTGGCCTCCTCATCAGCTTGATGTCAAGAATGCATTTCTTCATGGTGATCTTCTTAAGACGATTTACATGGCTCATCCACTCGATTTTCAAGCTGAGGGGGAGTATTCGGGAACAGTGTGCTGGTTACACAAATCTTTGTATAGTCTGAAACAGTCTCTATAAGCATGGTTTGGTCGTTTCAGTTCTGTTATTATATATATGAGCTTTGTTTAGTGCCACTCCAATCACACTTGTTTCATTCTCTGAAATTTTACAGGTCAATGTATAGTCTTGTTAGTTTATGTGAATGATATTATTCTCACAGGTGATGACTCTGTCGGCATTGGTCAAGTAAAGAAGGACTTAGGCCAAACTTTTGATATTAAAGATTTGGGATGTCTCAAATATTTTCTGGGAATTGAGGTGGATAGCTCAAGGGAAGAGCTCTCCTTATCTCAAAGAAAGTACACCCTTGACTTGCTTTAGGATACTACTATGTTAGGGTGTAAACTTGCTTTTATTCCTATGGATCCTAATGTCAAACTTACATCAGAGTTTGGTGAGTTGCTGGATGACCTAGGCATGTATCAACGTCTTGTTGAACGCCTCATTTATTTGACCAACACTAGACCTGACTTGACATTTGCAGTTAGTGTTGTGAGTCAGTTCATACATGCACCTCGTACAAATCACCTTGATGCAGTTCATCATAATTTGAGGTCTTTGAAGACTTCTCTTGGCTTGGGATTGTTCTTTATCACTGATCTCCAATCTGGGCTCTCTTGTTTCACCGATGCCGACTATGCAAGATTAAGGATTGATCGTCGTTCCACTTTTGGCTTCTATACTTTCTATGGTGATCATCTTATCTCATGGAAAAATAAGAAGTAGACGGTTGTTTCTAGGTCTTCTGCAGAGGCTAAGTATTGGGTTATGACACATAGGACATGTGAGATTCTTGGATTCGCTCTCTTCTGGCAAAGTTGGATTTTGAGGAGACTGTTCCTTCCTCTTTATGTTGTGATAACAAATCTACCATTATGTTATCCTCTGATTCTGTGCTTCATGAGCGTACCAAGCATATTGGGGTTGACACACATTTCATTCGAGAAAAGGTTCGGATTGGCATTGCGCATCTATCCTTTGTCTCTTCTTCTCGGCAGTTGGTAGATATGTTCACAAAATCTACGGGACCAACTTTGCTCCAATCTTCCATTGACAACCTACTTCAACTTGAGGAGGAGTGTTGAATATAGGAATCAAAATATTATGTTTGAATATGGAAATTAAAATAGGAATTATTTTGATTGTAGGAATCTTGCTTTGTGTATATTGTTTTCTAAATTGTATCATGAAAATATTATATATACATGGCCTCAATCTTATTGATTGATAAGCCAAATAATTCTTTCTATTCTTGTTGTCCTTGTGTAGTATGATCAAGGATGACATTCTTTATCAAATTTTCCTCAAGCTTACACCAAAAGTTGGTACTTTTCTTGCACAAATAGAAAAAAAGATAATTGGGTATTCACAAAACAATTTATTTTCCATAATTTTTCCTAGCACGCTCTTCTGAAAAATTGTTTTCTCAAAAAATCGTTTCCCACAATGAAAGACAAAAATTAAAGATTTAATTGTTTTCTTCGACTTGAAGGAGCTATACACTAAATTTTGAATCAATGATCAATCCTCTTGTACAACAACCATGAACGAAGTAGGATGTTACTAAAATCATGCCTTAAAATCACCATTCTTTGCAACAAGCACAGGCAAATTGTTGAAAACTACACATGAGATGAGAATTGACACAGGAATTCAAATCCCCCCCCCCCCCCCCCCCTTTTTGTTTTTTCCTTGAATGAAAATTTCTTTAAAATATTAAGCAAACTGATAATTTTGAAGACGGACAATTCACCTAAATTCTACAGATGAAAAATTTATATACATGAAGTTGGATACGGGGCTTTACCTGCTGAACATCTTACAGAAATACCCAAAGCGTATTAAAAAGACCTACACCAAACAAGGGAGCAGTGTAAGTGTGTACAAATTATTGGCTAATTGGAAGAAATACAGATAATTCCTTGGGAACAGAGGATTTCATGGTTTGGCATATACCATAAAGCCAAACAGCCTAATTCTTATGTGCAATCAACTGGATGACATCAGGTCATAGAGCCTAGTAATACCTTCAACAAAGCTTTGATGACGGTAGAGGTTGGAGGTAATTACCCCGGGATGAAGTGAATTTGCAGTTATTTCTGCCCCATCTTCCTGTTCAAATAAGACATTGATATAATTCAGATTCGGGTTAGCATGCACGAGAGGCACGGGTCCAAGTAATGTTTATATATGAGGATCTGATGTTGCCAATAAAGCATTCAACTTAATGATATAACATCACATTGACCTTTGTAGTAGTAGGTAACATTTTGCCCGCGTAATGAGGTATAGGATGGGATAATATTTCAGCCTCAGACATTTGGTTGAGTTTTCAAAACTTTTTTGAATTTTCAAAAATTATTTCTGCCCACGAAAAAGAGAAAACCATATGAAAATAATAAATTACTATATATTTTTTCAACAAACTAGTTTTTGAAAAAAAATTTAGAAAATAGATTCTGAAAACTGAACCAAACTAGTATGTTAGATACTTAGCAGCAAATAACGCTAGTCAGGAATACCACTCTCAATTTGCTAGGAACATAGAAATCGAAGGATGGGACTACCTACTCATTATCCGGAGATGAATCACAGAACATTATCTAAAAAATTTCACAGGTCAGAAAAAGTCATTCACCATTTCCTTAACAATAACAAGGTAGTCTACTTCATTGAGATCCATCAAACGGAACAAATACCTTTAATTGCCTTGCAAGTTCATTAGCATGCAAAACGTTAGCAAGCTTTGATTGTCCATATGCTTTTACACCGCTGTACCTGTATAAACATAAGAACAAATGCAACAGAAAAATTATCAACTTTTTCAAGCATACACAATGCATAACTCTGCAATGCAAAACATGAATGGATGTGAGGATTGAAATAAAACATTAATTTCTCTTTGTTTCCTTGAAATGTTTATTAATTTCTTTTTGGCTATGAAATCAAGACGAATTCCAATCACATCCCTTATCACTTACAACCAATCCTTACCAAAGGAGGATAATAGGTGTAAGAGTTCGAAAAATACCAGAAAAGTAAGGTTGGAAACTTAAGAACACATCCACGTAGGTTTGCTCATACAAGTGATCAAATTTAAACAAATTAAGGTCACATGCTTACATGTATAAGCCTTTCACAAGAATGAACCACACTGATGACTAGGAAAAGTAAAAATCCAAGACACGGAAACATGTTTAAAATAAGAGAACAGAAAATATAGACAAATAAATACCATTATATCGTAGTGAAATATTACATCAGATAGACATGACTACAAGCTAGCTCTAGAGTGGTGTATTCTACAACTAGAAATTTAAAAGTTTAACATAGATTAATGCACTAGAAAAGAGGAGTTCATGAAAAATAAAATCATACGCAATAAACATTTTCTCAATTTTTTTTTCATCTTTGGCATTTCTAATCTAACTTGAATGCATTTAGAAATGCTTCACTTTGAGCAAAAAGCAAACGTAGTTTATATCCGGATGATGTATCAACATTAGAACCCTTGTAAACTTCACAACACAGATTTGTATGCCCTTCCAATTAATTTAATGAAGGACAGCCAACAAACAAACATAAATATATAATCAAACATAATACAGGCTGACAATTATGGATCTATCTTTATAAGTAGTTCAATTCCATTCTGAATCAAAGGAAAAATATTTACCCTGCTTGATCATTGATTTTATCAAACCGAATTCCTTCACGATAAGGAAACCGGTGAGCCTCAGATGAAACATTTACAATTCTTCCCTCTTTTTTGGTTTTGCGTGCTGTTTTCTTCATGGTGTCCAACAACAGACTTGTCAACAGAAAATGACCTGCAATGGAGTTAAAATCAACAAGTACTCAACAACAATGCTGTGGGAACTTCTTTCCCCAAACTTCACAATAATACTATTTGGCCTATACTATTTTAAATATTTATAACAAAAATTAGCATATTAGCTCCTTCAAAATTTATATGGTTTTATTTTGGCCCTTTCAAAATCTATTTAATTTTACTTGGGCCCCTCCAAAAATGTAATTTTACATCGGCCTTCCAAACTTCACAAAAACCTCAATTAGCCCATGATATTTTTTTGAGTATTTATAATAGAACTTAGCGTTTTTGCCCCTTGAAAACCTATATAATTTCATTATGGCTCTTAAAAATCCAAATAATTTTACCTTGACTTCAAATGTCTTAACTTCTATAGCTTCATTTTTTTTGATAATTTTGAGGTTCTTTTTCCAGAGTACAAGACAACATATATTTCTAAGTGCAAAAAAAAATACCACAATAACCTTGTAATTGAAACTCGCATTTGAAGAAAACAACATACTTTTCTTCTTTCGGTCTTTTTATTTTTATTTTTTTTAACAAGCAAAGAGAATATGTTGAATCATTGTGTAAACGAATAAATAAATCATGTTACTTAAAAGCTACCACACAGCTTTTGAACTTTTACTATATATATTTAGTAGGCGGGTGCACACACGATGCACATGCAAATAGCTATAATTTATGAATAGAGATCATCCATGTTTGTAGAGTTTTAAACATCTGAATCAATTTGAATTTTTCATACAGCAGGCTTCATGCTCATCAATTGTTGGAGGCAGTTTGAAATTAGTAGTTACAGAATAACCAATAGGCGTGTTTAAAATCGGCAGTTATAGAAGTGTAATTTAGGAATAAGGAAAGTTGTGACAAAACTGTCCATACCAAGCGACTTGTGCACTTATATAATAGTATAAATATATATTTCTGAAATAGGTATGTGCAACATACCTATGTGGTTTGTGGCAAACTGTAATTCTATGTTGTCTTTGGAAAGCATGAAGGGAGTCGCCATTATTCCTGCATTGTTACTTACAATAAAGAAGACAAGATTTACTCCTCATAACTACGCCACCACGCACAAGCGTAGAGAAGAAATTTATATTCATAATGCAGAACCATAAGACAATGATTCACGACTCATGTCATTCTCTTACATTAGAAGGTTTAGTGGAAGACCCGAGGAAGTGTACTCTGATGCAAATTTTCTCACAGATGCCATTGAACTGAGATCCAACTCCATGGCATCAATCTTAGCGGCGGGAATTTCCTTAGAAATAGCATTTTTAACCTCTTTGCCTGCAGACACACTCCTTACACCCATGATGACATGGACACCACGCATTGCAAGAACTCGGGATGTTTCAGTGCCAATACCACTTGATGCTCCTATATTTGTTGTAAATATTAGCAACAAAAAAAAGAAAAGAAAGTTGCAAGGGTAGTGTGATTTGGTACTCCATATACAGTTGTTTTAAAGTGCAAGTTTACACAAAAAATGCCCTTAAATTTTAGCCAAGGAAAGTATGAAAATTATAAGATTATGACAGTTAGTGGTGGACACACGGGGTAGGGTTTTGAAATTTTTTTCATATTTACAATGCAATTTTTTGTATTTACAAAGAAATTAGTATTTTGGCCCCCCAAACTTTAGAAAAACTCATTGTTTTGATTCAAATTTGAGTATTGATAAAATAAATTAGCGTTTTGACTCCCAAAATCTGTACAATTTTACTGCGGCAGCTTCTCCAAAATCTAAGTTTACCTTGGCCCTCCCTCAGCACAATTTTTGGGTTTGCCACTGATGACAATCAAGTTAATTTCCTCCCCGCTTAAAGAAAAGCAGAGGTAGGAAAGAATGAAGATCACATAAACTATGCCAAAAAAAAAAAATCCAGGCTCTCAATAATAATGCAGATCCACTCAAGTGAAGGAACAAAAAACCAAAATCTCGCCCCAAAGACGCCTTTGCTTCATATTATGTGGAACTTCCAATAACCTTCGGAACGCATTTCTCCCCAAATTTACAATAAATTTTTGAACAGAAAGCCAGAACATATAGCCAAAAATACCATTTTGTCACAAGTCTAATTCACTAGTAATTTCTAAATTTGCAGATACAAAGTTCATGAACTTCTGAGGAAAACAATTGAGATACAACCTGAACATGTATAGCCAAAAAAATTGGGTTTTATATGAAAGAAAATCAAGGCCTGCATAAGTACTTGAGAACATTGATTGACTCTTTGCTTTTCCTTTTTTTTTTGAAGAGAACATTTTAAGGTCGAGTCAATGTTTGTGCACAACATGCATCTCACATACCATAATACAAACAGTAGGTTGACTTGTAAGACATATGTATACTATTTATCCAAAAAAAAAAAAACAATCTTGAAGATATATGCTCTGTAAAAGAAAATGTAACCCACAAATATAATCTAAAAATGAATCAATTGATCTACAGTAAAGCAAAAAAAACATGAAAAAAATGAAAACCCAGAATCTAAAAATGGAATATGACCTGTAACAATGGCAGTGAGACCAGTGCCATTGATTCCCTGAGTGACTTCTTCAGCTGTGGAAGAAGACGAGAACCCAGAAGGTCCTTTTCTCAAAAACAACCACATTTTCTCTCCCACTTTCTCTCACTTTCTCTATCCAAATGGCGATTAATTTATCTCGAGCGTGATGAGCCAAATGGAATCGAAACCGTGCCTAACTCTCAAGTAAGTAACTGACTTTTTGGTGAAGAAGTGAACATGAAATATGAGCCATGGAAGTCCTTAGTGGAGTCCCTGTTGCCATGTCATTAAACCTGGATAAATCACTAATACCCTTCTTATATTTGTTTAAAATATAAATTATTTTTTATAATTTTATCTTTAATTTTATAATAAATGGTCTTTTATTAATAAATTATTAAGTTAATTAATAATTTTTAATGATATTATAAATATATTTCAATTAATAATTCACAATTAATAATTCAGATAATTTTATTATTGTATATGTAAACAATTAAAAAATTTACCTTTTTAATTAATTTTGTTAAATAAAAAATTCTCACAAAAAGATATTTATAATTTTTTAAATTATAAAAAATAATTTATATTTTAAATCAACTATAAATGATGTATTTATAATTTAGCCTTTAAACATTGAACAGTGACCACATGCAAATCACGAGTTTTTACTTACTTCAGCTTACATTATTGCGAGGGGACCAACCCCTTGGCATTACTCAGCCTCAGAAATTGACTTGTGAGGGAAGGTGTTTAAGAAATTTATATGAGTTATTTTCCGTTTTATGAAAGAAATATGAAGAAAAGTTTCATGAAATTTTGTCATTTTTAGATTGGTTTATGGTGATTTATGTTGTATTATGCAATTACATATAGGCCTCGTTTGGGAAGTGGCTATTTTAATAGGCTATTTTAGTTTTTCGCTATTTTAAGTAGGCTAAAATTTTTGTGTTTGGAAAGATGATTGGATTTTTTTGTGGTTGGATGTGATGTTTGTGAGAGAAAAAGTGAAATGATTATGGGTTTGATGTGATATTTTGTCTTATTAGCTATTTTAGCCTATTTTGTCTTTTTTGTGATTTTTAACCTAAATTTAACTATTTTTTTTCTTCCCAAACACCCCCATAACAAATTGTAATTCATCAATTATAGAACACTATAAGTTATACTATTTGCAAATTAAGAATTTAAAATTAAAACATACTTATATTAAGGTAAGTCATTTCTTTATTTTTATTTTGTTACCAATCATATTAGATTATTTTTTAAAACTTCATGAAGATCTTCGGGAATGTTAACCCTAAGATTTTATGTTTTGACTTTTTCCGAGGCTAGCTATTCGAGCAACAAAATATATTATCGGTAAGACAAACTTTTCAATCCTAGACAAATTGTATTAGTGTTAAGAGTGCGTGTTTGAATCCTTACTTGTGTGCGAATCCGCGATTTACCTCTACATAGGGATTTTTGAGAACCCAAACTTGAGGCTAAAATAGCCTCAAAAAAAAAAAAAAAAAAAAAAAAAAAAAAAAAAAAAAAAAAAAAAAAAAAAAAAAAAAAAAAAAAAAAAAAAAAAAAAAAAAACCTAGTTAGCCGGCTGGGGCAGCCTACACTACAAGCGTGACAGTGTAGGCACAGTGTAGTAGTGACAGCCTAGTCCACATAACAATTTTGCTCCTTTAAATTAATTTTAAAAAAAGTGAGGTTAGAGACAAATTTGTCATTTCAGCCTCAAATATCATTTCAAACACATTTTTCAATGCAACAACTTAAATAAAAATTCATCCTATCTTCCCAAACACAAAAACTAAAATAGCAAAAAGCCTAAAAATAGTCACTTCTCAAACACTCACATAGTTAAGTGATTATGCTATGTAGCACACTACCTAAGGATGCCTTCTGGAGTCTTGACTCCTTATGATCTAATCTCAAAAGTCAGTCATATGTGGTTAAGTCTTTTAAATTTATAAATATATACTAGCGGCTGGGGTGTAGTCCCAAATATTTTTAGAAAGTGTTTTTGAAAAACCGTCGCTTCATCACATATTCGACTAATCCACAATTTTCAGGGGTTCGAAATTTGAGTCGATAAAGTAATTACAGTCCTTCATTGTAATTTAACTTATTAATCCCTAACATCCTACAGTATTGCAGACTATAAATTTTAAAATTAAATATACAATTAGTGGATAGAATGGTGCACCCATCTATAGTTAAGTCTTTTTAAATTTATATATATATTGGAGGCTATATGTATGTGCAATTCAAATAAGTAAAAAAAAATAATTACATCATATGTGTGCATTTTAAATAAGTAAAAATAAACACACACACACACACAAAAAAAAAAATTCATATTTGGTCTTCAAAAATAATGATCATTCGCGACTAATTAATATTTGGTCGCCAAAAGATAATTTTTAACTACTAACTTTTTTATTGATCGCGGAAAGTGATCACTAAAAATACAAATTCTTGTAGTGCTGCCATGTTATTATTGGTAAAACTATGAACTCAAACCAAAAAAAATGTGGTCCACATATGATACATGTGTAATTCAAATAAGTAAAAATAAAAATAAATAATAAATAAATTAATATCATAATATATATATTGCTTAAGTGGTAAGAAGATTCTCAATGAAACCTAGAGTTGAATAACTTTTTAATGGCACGATGTGAAAGCATAGACACCAAGTTTAACCTTCACTTAATAATAATACTAGTGGGTGGCACACACGATGTGTGTGCAATTTAAATAAGTAGGAATAAAAAATAATAATAATGAAATTAATACTATAATGTATACTTAGCTTAAGTGGTATGAGTTCTCGTACTTAAACCCATGGTCATGGGTTCAAGCCTTGCCCATCTCTTTGTTTAAGTTTTTTTTAAAAAATAAAAAATACTGCCTGCCACATGACATGAAGAGAGTAAAGCTTCAGGACACCAAAGTTTCTGTTCACTTTATAATAGTATAGATAGATAGATAGATAGATAGATAGTATAGGTATATATATATATACATATAGTATAGATGATAGATAGATAGTTAAAACTTATGTTAATTGATATGAGATCGTAACAATCAACTTATGGATAATTTTGGGTTGGTCATTTAGGTTGTATTTGAATTATGAATTTAGTTAAATATTTAGAAAAGGAAATAAAAAAAATTGAGTGAAATGTGACAAATTTCTATCCAAATGCATAATCCAAACACATTCTTAATGTCAATGTTGTTCATTTTCTTACTAGCATTTACTAACACACAGGCACAAAATATTTGTAATATATAAATAAACAAAATAGAAATTTATTGAATTTATCTTCTAGGTCCCCAGAATTTTTTTTCTTAAAAAAAACAAGAACAAATAATTTTATAGTACTAATGCAAGTCCTTCGATAAAACACAAAACCAATTTTAGACAAAAATGCCCCTGCAGTTACAGTTACGATTACATTTTACAGTTTTTAAACAATTTCAAATACTTTTTATTTACAACTCCTTTTTTCGTGTGTAAAATTTATATTTTTTTGAATCATCTCATTAAAATCTATCAAACAATATGAAATTCAAAAAAGAATCATGAAATTTCATTGTATTTGTTGTAGGTCACAGTGAAACTTCACTGTCTAAAGTTAGTGAAAATTACTATTGGAGTACAAAAAAAATGTACAATTGAATTAAAGAAATTATATCCCTAATTTCAATTTTAGAATTAATAATTCAAATTGAAAGCTCAAAAATGACAAATTTTGCTTTATTTCATGTTTTAAAACGATGAAATTTCACTTAAGCACTGACTTTAGACAATGAAAATTGTGCCAAAACTGGTAGTTCTGCAATTCTCTAATCTTTGGATACTTATATTGTCAATAGATCTAATGCTCGAGCTAGTCAGTCAATCAAAATTCTTACACATTATTTGAACGGAAAACATTATGGAACACACCCCTTGAAAGGTAGATATCATATGTACCTTATAATTAAAAAAGAAAATGATATAATTTTATATTTTTTGAGTCATAACTAAAAAAATGTAATAATTAAACACAACATGAGGCATAATTAAAAAACTCACGAGCCATAACTAAAATAATGTCATAATTAAAAAAAATGATATAATTAAAAATGCATATAGTATGCCTTTTTAAAGGTATGTAGGTTAGAATTTCCCTATTTGAATACTTTCATTTGTGAATAGATTGTTTGAATAATGAAGTATCTCATTCATCAAGTCTACCTTTTATTCATACAGAAAATATGCAAAAGTAATGTGATAATGCCAAGCAAAAAGTCTACATTGAACCATAAAATTTTATATGAATTTATATATTCTCCATCTTGATTTACCTACCTCCAACTGTTAATTTACTAATATTTCTAAAAGATAATTTTGTATTGTTAATATTTACAAAATTGACCACTAATCTTGATTTTTATTTATTGTTAAAAACTTACACTGAATTTGAAATTTTCCCTTTATTTAATAACATGAAACGAGGCCCACCACCTAACATGCAAAATCTGTGGGCTACGGCCTTCCGGTCCAGCCCATCAAACAATGATTCAAATATCCAACCCTCCTTTGATAACGTTTTGATTTTCTGTTTCTTGGTTTCGTTTTCATTTATTTTTGAACACTGAAAATAAAAAAAACTTATTAGTATACTATTTTTTGTTTTCCAAAATTTAAATTAATTTTAATTTTTCAAAAAATTTAAAAATGAAAAAAATATTTTCAACTCTCTCTTCTATCTTACAATCTCTAACCACCATCACTATTTACTACTAGTTACCACTTTCAATAATTCACCAAACATGTGTTCTTTATTTTCTTTGAAAAAAATATCCATGAATTTTACTTTTTTAATAAAAAATTTCACTGAATTATATTAATATATGAACCAACTCGAAATTTTATTAAAAAAATAAGACTTTTTTAAAAAAAATATATTTTTCATTTTATTTTTAGTTCTTCTCAATTTTTTAAGACAAGTTATATTGACCTTCTTTGATATTTTAACAAAATATAATAAGACTCGCAAGTTTGACCTAATTACATTAATTTTTTTTTTTGAGATTTAATTCATATAACATTTCGCTATCTTTTTATCAAAAATTTATTAGTTGTATAAATGAAAAAATAATGTCGTCATATCTCTTACATTGAAATGTGTATTTCATTTTATTTGTCTTTGTATTT